CGAAAAAGGAACTGACCGCGAAACTCCGAACTAAAGGGTCCAGAAACTTCTTTCGGGAAGAATTGTATTTATATATTTTTATATATCGCATGGCAAATAATCTACCTCAACCACTTGAACTGATCTGTTTTTGTTCTTGAAGTCAGCCCTCTTCCTGTTTACATTACTTTCTGCCGCAGGTGAGTTAAAACCTCTTTGTTGCTGATCGACCGACATTCTGCGTTAATACGTTATAGAAACGTCCAGGAGTTAAATACTACGAATGTATTATCAAAATGTACTCAATTCATGCTGAATTTTGGGTTTCATGAATAGTGTGAACAGTGCAAAACAAGTTAAACACTGACATTAAACGTAATAGACACAAGTTTGTTCAAATCCTGTGAACTGATTACTATAGGAAAACTGCCATTTTACTGTAGTAACATCCTCTCTGCTCTCTGCTCCTGTAGCGAAGGCCTGCTCCGGTGCATGTGGAGATGATCTGGTGGAGGTGTGCTCTGGCGATGTCGCTCCCCTGGACTGTCCCGTGCGCTGCTCCTCCTGTTCCTCTCTGGATTCGGCGGCAGACACTGACGCAGAGGATGGCAACTTCTTACATCTAGAGGCGACATGCGGGCTAGAAGAAAGCTGGTTCATCACCCCTCCTCCATGTTTCATGGCTGGAGGCAGAGCTCCGATCCTGCTGGAGACCAGTCCTCTGGAGAACCTACTGATCGAGCATCCCAGCATGTCAGTGTACGCCTTTCACAGCCCTCGTCAACGACCTGCCAAGGACGGCACCCATGAGCCATCCATTTTAAGGTAAAGGGCAGATTTAGAGTTTTGTATGCAAGGGGTAATGTACATCCAGCTGGTTGTTATCGCAGAATAACCCTCAACAGGATGATCAGGACAGAATGATAGGGGGTTATTCTGCGATAGCAATCGGCCAGATGTACATTATCCCGCTTATTACATGGCTAATTGCCACATAAGTAAATAATTAGATACAAAATATTGATTTGAGTTGAAATATTTAAACGCAAAGTTTCTGTGAAGAAAGCCGAGGGATAACATGCCTCGGAATGTTGCGACTGACCAATCAGAATCAAGTATTCCACAGCGCAGTGTAATAATTTGCGATAACAACTGGCTAGATGTACATTATCTTGCTTATTACACGGATACTTGCCACATAAGTAAATAAATGGTCATGAAATATTTTTTTGAGTTGAAATATTTTATTAGCTCAAATCTTTCACAAAGTAAAACAGTTCCTAGCAAGCTGCTTTGAGCCAAAACAAACATTTTTAGAGGTTTAATATTGATTTAAATTGGAACTTTTAAAATCTTACCTGTTTGTGTTATTATGCATTACACTGTACAAAACAATCATCCTTCGAAACCACCAGACCTCGCAATGTTGCGTCTGACCAGTCGGAATCAAAAATGTCAGAGAGCCGTGTAATTTTTTATTACAATGTGAAATATTTGAATCTCACAGATTCTGTTTTGCAGATCTGACGTTCAGCGCCGGCCCAGTCACCCTTCTGGCTGCTACACAGCCGCTCTGGTTGCTGCTCACGCCGGGTTTCTGGAGCAGACCAAGAACGGCCGCTTGGCCCAGCGCATCCGTGACAACGTGGAGCGCCAGCAGCTGTCCCGCAATGCCCTCCGCCGCCTCAACCTGCTGCGCGACGGTGGAGCCAGACAGGCCAAAGCCACCGGAGGCTATGTTCACCAGCCGGGACAGAGGCAGTACAACTACTGATACAGTCCCCACTGCACTCCCCTGCACGCCACCCCTTCCACACTGGGAGAATTGGCCTTTCGCCAGAAGGAATGGAGTCCTTTAGAATCAATGTCATAGGTCACTTTACTTCACACCAGGTTCCATTCGACCTGAATGTGTCTGCGTCATGTTTCCTTTATAAGCTATATCTGATAGGTTCTGTCTTATGTTATGTGTCATGAAGGTTGAATAACCAAGTGTTTTGTTATAGTGAGCATGTTGTTGTAGTGCTCTGTTTGAGCATTCGTAGGCAGCTTGGCTCTTTCAATGCCTTTAACTTGTCTTTGCTTTGTTTGTTTTTAAAGCCATACTAAGTTCGTTCACATCAGTGATGAAATCATCAGCAGCACTTTTCTGGTTAGGAAGGAACCTGCCTGTGATTCTGTAGATCAGTACTTTCTTCCTCTTTGATTTTTTTTTCTCTTTAAAAAAAAAAGGTAAAGTATACTGGGTTTATTATCACTAAAAGCCTTGTTTCCATAGTAGATTTCAAAATATGTAAAATATATATTAAAAAAACTTCCAAAATATTTTCAAAAGAAAAAAAAAATGGAATATTTTACATATCAGTATGAAGTTGATAAGAGTGTATGTTATCTGCATAGATATGTATGTAAGCAGGTTTTCTATTTTTAGAGTGACTTTAGTGACTGATTTGATGTATGACTGTGTAGTGCTAATTTTCCAAAAGGTGAAAAGTCAACAACAAAAAAAAGACATCAAGTGTTGTAATGTTAATTTTCATGTTTGCTATAAATCTGCAGTACATGTCTCAGGGTCATCACTGTTCATCTTTGCTAAAAATACAGATTACTTGCAGACGGTAAATTGTCTCTGTACATACTGGAGAACCTCTAACTTTATCAATGTGTATGTTACCTTGTGGAAATATTTGTAATTGATGTAAATCTTTAACATAACGTGTGTCTCACACTTTGAGTGAAAGCTTGCTCCGATGAGGACTGTGAAAACAACACTTTCTCTTAATTGACTGTTAAAACCTTTGACGATGGAGGGAAACTGTTAGCATTTAAATTGTTTTTTTTAGTTTTCTCATTTGTAGTGACCTTTTTTGTTATATGCCTTTTCATGTTTTATTTGACTAGTTACACAATATATTTGCTGAGCGAAATATTTAAAGTAGCAACGAACTTAAAATTCTTCGTAGGTTTTGTTTGTTACTGTTTATTCCTTTATCACGTGCGACCTGGTGTTGTAAATTTCCGGTGACACTGCCAAGGTAAATGTCTCCCCTAAATGAATGAAACTGAATTCAGTAAATCTGACATTCAGTCGAATGCATATTACATGCATGAACAACTCAAGGGAAACACCTACAGCTTTTTTTTGCTTGCTGCAGTCTGTGTTGAGCAGTATATTGCATTTTCTGACATTTTTCTCTGTGGACAAAGGGAATGGAAGGGATGTAAGGTTCTCTTCATATTCCTCGAGTAGTACTGGAGAGGCCCTCTTTCCCCATGTCAGTAGACGCCTGATATTTGGTATTCATAACAGGGATTTCATTTTGCCTTGAATTGCATTTGGGGATCATGTGCCTTCCAGGTGAACAGTATGACAATGCATCCGTGAAGAACTTGAACTTTGTCCAAAGGGACACAAACAAATGTAATTGTACTATGCACAGAGGATTACCTTGTCTCTGTGAGCCACTTGCTCTGTCAACTTTTACACGAAATGTAGCAAATGTTTTCTGTGTTTAATGTGTGAAGAAAATTCTCTGTGGCATTTGTAAGTTTTAGACTATGCTTTGGTTGAATTTTTTCCCCCCTTTTTTTGTTTACTGGAATAATACAGCACTTTGCCAAAAGTGTAGGGTTTTAGCATTGTTTATTTATGTTTTTCTTGAACTGATATGTTTTGGATACATGTCATACACAGGCTGTTTTATATGAGTAGTATAATTTGCAAATAAATTGTTCATTTCATATGTCTCAAAACCAACTATTTGTCATTATGTATACTCCCTTCTCAATAAAAGTTTTAATACAAAATGACGTTTTCGGCCTTTTCTATTAGTAAACAGAAATGTTCAAATATAATGACATAAGTCTGATAGACTAGGTAGGTGTTAGCATGTTCTGCCATCATGCATAATTTGTACTGTAACTTAATCACCACACCAAATTATAATGAAAGGTTTCCACTCAGGAGCATTTCAAGAACCCATACCAACCTGTAACTCAACCCAACTAATCTCTAAAGAATCCCAAGCCATGATTACTGCAAGCCTATTATTCATTGTACCAGTGTGGGTATTAACCTTAATAAAGTAGTTTTCTAACTGTACCAGTTTAATCGTGCCCTCGTTGTTCTCCTTGATGCACTGGGGCTTTCTTTTCTTGCATGCTGACAGAGTCAAAAATGCTCAATATATTTAAAATGCTTGGGTAAAAATGTCTAACTGTTATCTAACATTTTATTTATTTTATTATATTGATTCCTAATTCTCTAGTGCCTAGTGACCTGTAGCTTGTATAGTCCTATAGTCTCTCAGCAATGTTGAATGTTTAGCTAAAATCAAAATATACCATATTTGCTTTTTGTTATGACATAGATTTTTATTGTAACTGTTTTAGTACTTGATGCCTCTCTCTCTCTCTCTATTAGATCAACAATGTATTTCAATTAATACTTGGGTGACATACTGTTTTATATGGCCAGGGAAACGTAATGTTATTCCATCACAAGTTAAAATGCATTTTAATAAATTATTAATAAGAAAGTTCATTTCTCACAGTGGTAGTAGCTTTTGTACTGAGTGAATTGTTTGGAAAAGTCCTCACAGTGAGTTCCTCAGACTTGTAAGAACTTTGTTTTGCAAATGTTAATGCACAATAGTTGCAAATAATGCACATTTTTTAATTATTATTATTCTTTCAAAAGGTTAAAGCAATACAATTTTGCTTGTTTAAGTAAAGCTGTCGCATTGATCTTGTATGGACAGAACTGTATTTTCCCTTGTGTTTTATTGTTTCAATTGCCGGGTGCAAAAGCGGTAAAATGTATGTTAAAGAGTGTTCATGTCATTTTTGTTTTTATGCTCAAATCAATATAATAATGTAACCAGTGGCTAGAAGACATAAAAAAGCCTTGTCACAAAATTGATACATGCTAATGACAGAATCAAGATAATTTCTTTAAGAACAAAAAAGGCTTTTGGTTGATAAATTGACATCTATGATTGTGAAATGCAACAAATATTATGATAAGATTAACGTTTTCAATACGCTTATCATTGCCTGTCAGAATAAAGAACCCTCTCATGGGTTTGTTTACAAGAGCACGTTGTTTCTCGCAGAATAGCCATGATTGGCCAGAACGATTCCAATCCCCGCCCACTATAAGCTGTCAAACTAGGAAGCGTCTCCTTAGAGTCGAAAACTCGTTATAATTTCATATAAATGCAATAATTAACATACAAACCTACTCGCATGTGATGCATTAGGTCCTCGAGCCCCGGATTCGTTTAACCGGGAAAGCAGGAAAGCGCGTTTTTTACATGTTTAAACCAAAGGTCGACTCGGCCAAAAGCAAGTCTACAAACCACAACCATTCCTGTAGGTTTCTCACAAACAGTCAACATTATCGTTTGTAATTCAATGCAGATTTTTTTTTGAACCATCACCCATGAGGCTGCCTGGTCGTTTTTTAGCCACAAAACACAACGTTATATATAGTTTTCAAATTGTTTGTAAAGGACGACAAGAGCGCCACGCATGCGCAGTAGCTGCGATCCGCTGGACAATATATAACACTTGGCGCCATTCATTTAGTCATTTGCACTGAACACTGCGGTAAGGACACATATTCTAGTCTTCTTTCACCTATAATGTTTTTTACTTTACGTCGTTAAATCGTGTCGTAATCACGCTTTAGGAGGAATAGTGCTGTTGTTTTATGTTGCTTTTGCTTTAAAACGGAAGTTTGTGCCTTTTAACTAACGTTAGTCATCTACGACAAGAGACGAAGATGTCCTCGAGACCCCTAAAACAGCTGTTTTTGCTAGATTATTTCGGTCGAAAGCGCAATGAATGTGTTTCGAAGTATCTCTTAGGCTAAAGTTGAATGTAATGTCGCCTTTAGTGTGGGGATGTTGCTGAAAGTTAGCTGTCTCTGCTAGGCGCCAGATCTCGGCTCGTTGTATGTAACGTTACGTGGACGTACATTTGTAAACTCTTTCAGAAATTGGGGAAATAGCTGATATTGTGGAAAGTGTTATGGGTTTTCCACACACCAAGGGGTTACCTAAACAGTATTTTCTGTTAAACTGGTGTTTAATGCGCTTTAAATAGATCTTCGATGGGTTTTGTGGGGGCAGTTGTATCGTAATCACGCTTTAGGAGGAATAGTGCTGTTGTTTTATGTTGCTTTTGCTTTAAAACGGAAGTTTGTGCCTTTTAACTAACGTTAGTCATCTACGACAAGAGACGAAGATGTCCTCGAGACCCCTAAAACAGCTGTTTTTGCTAGATTATTTCGGTCGAAAGCGCAATGAATGTGTTTCGAAGTATCTCTTAGGCTAAAGTTGAATGTAATGTCGCCTTTAGTGTGGGGATGTTGCTGAAAGTTAGCTGTCTCTGCTAGGCGCCAGATCTCGGCTCGTTGTATGTAACGTTACGTGGACGTACATTTGTAAACTCCTTCAGAAATTGGGGAAATAACTGATATTGTGGAAAGTGTTATGGGTTTTCCACACACCAAGGGGTTACCTAAACAGTATTTTCTGTTAAACTGGTGTTTAATGCGCTTTAAATAGATCTTCGATGGGTTTTGTGGGGGCAGTTGTGGTCTCCCGCTTCGTGTAAATTGGCGCGGACTGTCCTTTCTTAAACCCACAGAACCGGATTCATGTATTTCTGGTTTCTGTAAAAACAGATGCTCATACTGCTGCTTGTGTAGACTTTGCACTTACTCTCAATGCCTTTCGACTTTAACTGATTTTTAATTCGTATGAATTATAAACATGTGTTCGATATTTGTATGTAACACTTATCTCTGGTCGAATGGCTGAAGCTTGAGTGTTTATTGTTAACGTTAAGCCTTTTTTGCCAGTATTTCTCTTCTGCTTTATTATTTTAAGTATACGTTTTAGATATGTAGTTCCGTCATTATTTTTAATTCAGGCTTAAGAAGTTCTTTGTTACTCACAGTGTAACTAAACATTGTGTGTTTCTGTTTCACAGGAGAAAAGCACACCATCCGTGTAGAAAATGTCAAGACGCAGGTAGGAATTATTAGTGTGATTCGTTGAATTTGGCGATGGTTTTTTACTTGGCTAACCCTAAAAAACACAAGAACGTTACTTATTTTTGTAACAACTTTTGTGTTTTAATAGCAGTCGCAACACATTACAAGAAAGAAATGAAAATGCACCTGAACAAAATAAACCGCAGAGGAAAAGAAAAAGCGAGGTGAGATATTAAGAT